CTGCCCCCCCCAGCCCCCAGGTGCACCCCCCAATCTATTCACTGGGGTGGCAGAGGGAGAAACAGAGACAGCCTTGACACTGTGCAAACATTGTTCAGCAAGACATTGGTGCGTTATCAGCACTGTAGTGGTCACAGATCTAAAACACAGCATCCTGTGAGCTGCTATGAAGAAAATTAACTCCATCCCAGCGAGACCCAGTACAATGCAGGTAGTATCTCATTTCCAGATCTTCTATACTTACTGCTCTTGAGATCGACCTTGGATGCCTCCAGGTGGTTTCTGCCAGAGGCTCCACCTGAGGCCATGCTCCCTCGTGACAGTGTAAAGCACATTTCTCACACTTGGTCCTGTCTGGTCTGGCCCAAGGACTGCCGCATGAACAGTTTCCTGACTGATCCGTTCAAATGCTTGTTGCTGGTTGGAGACTCAGTTGAAATAGTTCTTCTTTCAGGTCACTCAACAGAGAGGACTTACAAGTTGACTATAACCTGGAGTATGCATTCTCCAGAATCCCACAATGCCAAGGAATGCCTCTGTTACGTTATTGATCACATCTGCTATGATGTGATGTCATCCATCTTGTCATTCTATTCCCAAAAACTACATTTCCCATAAAAGTCCTCTGATCTTGTTTTGTTTTATGGCAAAACCAGCTTTCAGAAGAATCTGGACTCTCTTTTTCCATTCTCAAACACTTCCTCATCTGTGTTGCCCCATGCAGTGATGTCATCAATGCATTGCAAGCTTTCCAGGGCCTTGCCCTGTTCCAGCGCAGTCTGGATCAGTCCATGGCAAATGGTAGGGCTGTGCTTCCACCCCTCTGTAGGAGTCAACTCCAGACTGGACACCCTTCCACACCAAAGCTAACTGTGGCCTGCACTTTGCTGACAAAGGGATTGAGAAAAACGCATTGGCACTATCAGTTATGGCATATTGCTTGGCTGGCTTCTACTCCAGTTCATGCTGGAGTTCTAGCATGTCCGGTACAGCTGCACTTAACAGTAGCCTGACTTCATTCAGGCCATTATAGTCCACTGTAGACCTCCGCCCTCTATCAGACTTTCACATTGGCCATATGGGACTACCAAAGGGCAAGTGAGTTGGCTCTTGAGTCAATGAATCAGCTCCTGGATGACAATGAGGGAGTCTCAGTTGGGACAATATTGATGTCAGTGCACCATCATGGTAGCAACTGGCACTTGCTGTTCTTCAACACACAGCAAGCCCACAACATAAGGATCATCCAAGAGGCCAGGCAAGATAGACAGCTGTTTAATCTGTTTAATCTTCACTGAACCAGCAGTGGCTACATCAAAGGCCCAACGGTACCTCTTCGGATCCCTGAAATACCCTCCTTTGAGAGAGCCAATGGGCAATGACATATGGGGCCTCTGGACTGGTGACAATAGGATGCTTCTGCCACTTCTTTCCTGTTAGGCTCACCTCAGCTTCTAACATAGACAACTGGGAACCCCCTGTCACTCCAGAAATCCAGGTGTATTTTGCCCCCTTGCATCCTGATGGCATTAGGGTACATTGTGCACTAGTGTCCCCTCAAGACTAAAGTAAACCAAATTGTCCCTTTCCTCCACTTGGCTGGAGGGAGGGCATCCCTATTCCAAATTACAGCATCCTTTACCTAACTCCTGTAAATGAAAGCAGCCCATCTCTCTCTCTGTTGCACAGGCTATGCTACAAGGACTACAGACCAGCATGGTCCTTCTATGGTAGAAGGCATGGTGTTCAAACCCACATGGACATAAGTCCATTGGATCAGTATCAGAAAGAGGAGAGGGGTCCTCAGCCCATGTACTGCATCTCAGGAACTGCTCCTCAGCAACTGGAGCAGTAATCTTCGTGGAAGGACCCTTTTTAACCATTGCTTTTTCCCACAATTCATGTACACAGATTTCCAGGATCAAGGTAGGTGCACCGTCCCACTTCCACATACCCTCCCCACAGTTACACAGATAGAACCACAGTGTGGCAAGTGGCATGTGCCCATGGTTTCCTTTCCTCTGAGCACAGAAAGGCTGACTCATGGTAGCTGATAAGCTGGCCTGCAGGGTCAACGAGAGAGAGAGAGATTATCCGCATTCTCTTTGAGTTGCTGGACCTTGTGGAAGTCTTTCCACAGCTGAGATGCAAGCCCATAGCAGGGAGGGTGAACTGAGATTCTCTTTGAATCGCCAGAGCTGGCAGACCAGTCTGTACAAAGCTGGTGCCTCGATGTCAGCCCAATCCATCATTGCTAGGTCGCTGGTGCATGATGTTGATGTGCTCTGCATAGACTTCTGCCACACAGACCATGTGCACTGTATGTCATTTGGATCTTTGGGAGACTGATAATTGTCCATGTCACTGCAGACCACCTCCATCACCGCTAATTCCCTCAAACACTGGATATCTTCCTCTGTGGTAGTCCACCTGCCTCACTGGGTTACAGTATCTTCTTTAAGAGGGTACCTTGTCTTCTTGCTCGATAAGGGCCACCTCTGGAGGCTGCAGGTGGCTGCGCCTCTTCCAATCCCTCTGTCAATCCCACAGTCCCTAGCAATGGATCCCAACTGCTGTGCTTCCCTATGTCCTAGTTCCAGACTGTTAGTCCCACTATCCCAGCACTGGAGCAACGAGGTAGCAATTCGCTCATCTTGCTGATGGACAGAATCTTTCTGCCTGTCTTGCAGCTTCATCACGGATAGGATCCAGGTAGTTTCCTCCTCTTATGATTTCTCTCTCTTTCCTCCTCTGTCCTGCTGCATAACTGGCTGCCTCTTCTGATTTCTTCCTCTCTCCTCCTCTCAAGAGGAGCTGCTTCTTCTCTTGCTAACTAAGTTGACCTCTGCTTCCACTGTTTCTTCTTGACTAGGGGCAAGTATTACAGTTGCGGGTTTGGCCTCTGGTTTAGTGTCCACTTGTGTGGCCTCAGAGCAAATCTTCTCAGTGCCTGTTTGTGGGCTCTTAGATTGAGAGACCCTCTTGCACCTCTCAGGGTGCTAGACAGTGGCTTGATAGGCTTGGCCCAGGTCCCAACACAGCTTTAGAAGTTACTGTGTTTCACCTCCCCTCCTTCAGATGGTATATTAGTTTGATGGGTTTACAAGCCTGTTCAGGCATGAAATCCCAAGCTATCGGAAGCAACAACAGACCTACACACCTGCCCAACTCTTCCCACACACCCTGCCACCCCAGCGATCAATTGCCTTAGAGCACGTTCCTGTGTGGCATCCCCAATTAGCTGTTCAACCTTATGAACAATAATCAAAATGAGGATGACAACACACACCAGTATGAACAGTCTAATTACATAAGGATATTGGAGGAACTGAGAGGCCATTACATCAAGGTTATAAAAACATATTCTAGAGGACAGGAAGAGATAGGCACCATTCTTTCCTCTCTCCACAAAATGTCTCTCAGAGGAGAAAAGGGGAAATGTATAGTTGCTGCTTTTGTCCATGAGATGGTTCTTCGACTACTGGGGCACCAGCGATGTAAGACCCAAATACCAGATTAGGATGAAGGCTAGTGTTTTTATCATAGCTCTCCCAAGCAAAGGAAAACAAAGTGATAAACAACACACTAGACAGCAAATTCTGAAAACATTCATTAATGATTCTTGGAGTCTGTTGTATAGCTAGAAAGGAATCATGTATTGGAATATTCGAGGAAACACATAAATCAGCACCCTAAGTAAATATGCCAGCATCATGACCTGCAACAGCCACGCAAATAACAACTAAACAGGTATAACAGCTAGAAGTTTAATCTAGCACACTCTAATAAAATCTGTCATTATCTTGAAGGCCTAAAGCCGCACGTTGGGTGCCAAAAAGTACTGTTATGGGTTAACCCCAGTACACAGCTAAGCACACACAACCCAGTGGATGGGGAAAGAGCAAAGGAAGAATAAAAGCAAGAAAACTTGTGGGTCAAGACAGAAATTGTTCAGTAAGTGAAGGTGAAGTGGAAGAAGACAGAAAGAAAAGAAAACAAAATAAATGATGAAAAGGCAATCACTCACCCCCTCCCAAGGCTGACTGACGCCCAGCCAGTTTCCAGGCAAAATACAGCTAACCTCCCTAAACCTCCTCCTCTTCCTTTTTATTGCTGAGCATGATGTCATTTGGCATAAAATATCTCTTTGGTTAGATTGGGTCATCTGCTTGGTTGTGTGTGTTCGTCCTGAACCTTTTGTGCACCCCTCAGTCTGTTCACTGGGGAGCAGAGGCAGAAACAGAGAAGGTCTGATGCTGTGCAAATGTTGTTCAGCAAGGCCTAAAACGTTAAGTGTGTTATCAGCATTGTAGTGGTCACAGATCTAACACACAGCACGCTATGAGCTGCTATGAAGAAAATTAACTCCATCCCAGCCAGACCTAGCACACTAGCATAGCTAGAAACAAAATTCTAACAGATAAAACATCTCAGCCTCATAGAATCATCTCGAAGCTGACTAGCCAAAACATAACATTACTTTACTTACCTCTATCATGATTAAGATGACTGTCTTTTCAATCATCCATTAAAATAAAGCTATGTCCCAGGGATTAGACAAACAAAATTATACAAGATTGTGATTTAAATTCAAATTAAGTACAGGTAAGTGTAACAGTTTTACATTTTTCAAAACTGAATTCAAGTTTTAGCAGACTGCTCTTTCACACAGTCATGTAAATAATCAACTGATAATTAAATACCTGGCATTTCCGTAGTTCCCTCTTTAGCTGAAGAATTGTGATGTGATGTGGCTCTTGGCTGGTCCCAGTCCGTGTGTCAATCTCTTGCATGGTGAGAGCTTCCTTCCTTACTTCCTGTACCATACTGATCCAGCTCTGCAACCTGTCCCGCTGACTTCTTTTTAAGTTAACATCATCATTCAAATCAACCAGAAATGGGAAAGCTTCATCTACACAATTTCTATAACTGAAACATTGAACCTGAAGCCGGGTGAGCTGCTCCTCAAGTGAACTGATACGAGTTCTTTCTTGATTTAAGTCATGTGAACACTGACTACTGACCTGCTGGTTCTGCAAAGCTTCTCGAAGCAATCTGATTTCAAGTTCCATTTCATCAATCCGGTCTTGATTGGGGTTGTAATTTACAACTGGTTTATTTCTAATATTTTTGGCTCTGTTGGCATATTTGAGGGAATTTAAAGATTCATCAAAGTCTGATGAGGATGGACTTATACATGTTATCATGACAGTCTTTGCATTTCCACCAAGGGAGTCTTTCAGAATACGAGTGATTTTAGCATCCCTGTATGGAATATGAACACTTTTCCTTTTTGGGTCTCCGAGGGCACTGATGACATTTCCCAAAGCCAACAGACCACTATTGATCTGAATTGATTCTTTGAAGCGTTCACCAGTATTTCCAGTCTTTGTCACCCTCTCTGATCCAGCCAAATCCACAAAATGAAACTTTGAAGCAATCATCTGGACTGATTTCCAAGATGACTCCTGTGCAGCATCAGTATTTTTTTGAGACTCCGCACACTGTTTCTGACAAATATTGATGGTAAAAATGGCGTGAGATCGACTAGAGTGCACATTCATTTGTGTTGTGCCTGTGTGACGAGCTGCATTGCCACTTTCCAACAGGCTTATCACTTCATCTGCACATTCTACTTGGAATTCCTTAGCACCGACAATGACTTCAAACACCAAATCAAAGAAAGTAAGAATAATTCAATTATTTCTAAACTCTTCAGCAAAAGTTTACAGCAATTAGGAATAGTCAAACTTTAAACACATATTAAAGAAACATACAAGCCTGCATTATAAAGAGGTCATAGCCTATAGCTACAGAAAAATAAGACATCAACACATGAAAAGCGTGAAGTACAACACATCTGAAACCTGCAGATATTTAATATGAGTGTATTGTGTCACAGCATTTGAAACAGTATCCTAAAACACACAGTGTTACTCATTTACACCTTGCCATATGCAATTTGCAATCTAGTGCTATCTAGAAAGTATGAGCAAAGTAAGCTCAAATGATATTTTGCCAGTTTAAGAAAAAAAGACTAAAAAAAAATGTAGAAGTGATATCCCTAGTCTATGCTAAGAACAGAATTTCTATTCTATATAGCTCAGGTAGTTGGGCCTTTTGGACAGGTATCTATCAGTAATCTAATAATGTGGAAGTGTACTTCTACGAAGTAGTCCTACCAAACACATTTTTTTGTCCTTTGTTTTAATGAAGGATGGAAAGTGTCCTAGCACAATCCACCAAAGCTGACTCAGACTGTATTGAAGAGGAGAAGTAGTTTAAAATATATTGTGGGATCCTTATGAAGCAATGATATTGTCCCGAAGATTTGTGCTAAATTAGAGCCTTCTTCCAGCAACAGACAAGAAAACCATGCCAGCTCAACAGTCTATTAATATTAGAGCAAATACAACAATTAGAATATAAAGAATAAACAACAACAACAAAAAAACCACAAAACCCAAACAGATTATAGTTTCAGAATAAATTATCTCAGCTGTGGATTTTTCTAGCATTTTCATGTAGTGGACAGGAGAACTATAGGATAAGGGCTAATCTCAAAGCCTCCAAAAATATCAGATGCTACTGTTAATGAAATGTTCTCTTTCATTCATTTCATAGTGAAAGGGGGGCAGATACTTACAATATAAGTGGCTTAACAATTACAATTTTTACAGGAGAAGCAAAGGTTTAACCTTAAACTACTTATTCAAGTCAATAATGACACACTGCTGTGTTTCTAAACAAAATTTGTAAAGCAATAACTATATTTCTACTTCATAGTTTATTGTCATTTCTGATGGAACATCTATATCGTTCACAGGCCTCTAAACCCAAAATTGCTTCAAATCAGTTAAACTGAGTTTATATTCTGAAAATTTAACTTTTTTCTAGTATTGGTAATGAATAAGCTCTTTCAAGAGAAGGCAAGAATAACTTGGCACACAATTGAAACTCAACACAGCAAATTTTAGAGCTGAAATTCTACCTGTGTTTCCTTTTTCATCTTCTCGAATATGTAGTTCTTTCACAGAGGTCTCCAACTCCAATAAATCTCGAAGTTCTTCCTTGTAAACCTCTATATAAGATACTTTCACATGGAAGTCAATCTTATTGTTTTCAGAAATATGCTGAAATAATTCCTGAATAGCCCGTGGGATTATGCCCTTTTCATCCTCTGCAACAGATGCTACAATATAAGCAAAAGTGTCACAGAAGCTTGCAGTCATTCTGCCACATAAATTACAAAGATTGAAGACAGAGAAGTCTGTGAGATTTGCTACTCAATATACTAAGGAATCTGAAGTGCTTAGTATTCCCAAGGATTTTCATCAATATTTGTTTTTCTGGGGTCAGAATATTTCTTTGCATCCATTAATAGGATTCAAAGTTAAGTTCTAAACTACATAATGTTATACTCATGAAAGATAGGAAAAAATATAGTCTATTTTAAATCTATACTCTAAGGAGATTTCTTCTTTATTGCTACTTATTATGATTGGCAACATCATCGCAAGGGTTTGAGAAACTATAAATTCCACTTAAATACGGCAAAGACCAGTAGTAACTTGGTGAGACAAGATTTGTGACCAAAATTTACAGTCAGTTCCTATTTTTTCAAAGCAGATATAGAACACTAATGCCAAACTCCGTGTTTTTTTGTTTGTTTGTTTTTTGTTTTGTTTTGTTTGTTTGGTTGGTTTGTTTTTTGTTTTTTGTTTTTTTTTAATATTCACCACAGGACAATGTTTCCATAAGTAACTTGTGTTCCTTATTCAAGAATATGGAAAGTGTTTGTTTATGAGAGGATACCAAAGAAAATAAAAGGTTGCTCATATCTAACTATGAATTTAGGAAATATACATACGAAATTAAAATTGCTGAGCTACAACCCCATGCAGTGCTACAGGCTTGGGGACGAGTGGGTGGCAGAAAGGCATCCTGGCCTGTATTAGAAATAGTGTGGCCAGCAGGAGCAGGGAGGTGATCGTGCCCCTGTACACGGCACTGGTGAGGCTGCACCTCGAATACTGGGTGCAATTTTGGGCCCCTCACTACAAGTAAGACATTGAGGGGCTGGAGAGAGTGCAGAGAAGGGCAACAAAGCTGGTGAAGGGTCTGGAGAACAAGTCTTGTGAGGAGCGGTGGAGGGAACTGGGGTTGTTGAGTCTGGAAAAGAGGAGGCTGAGGGGAGGCCTTACTGCTCTGTACAACTACCTGAGAGGAGGTTGTAGCGAGGTGAGAGTTGGTCTCTACTCCCAAGTAACAAGCTCTAGAACAAGGGGAAATGGCTTCAAGTTGCACGAGGGGAGGTTTAGATTGGATATTAGAAAGAATTTCTTCACTGAAAGGGTTGTCAGCCATTGGCATAGGCTGCCCCAAGGAAGTGGTGGAGTCACCATCCCTGGAGGTATTTAAAAGCCGTGTACATGTGGCGCCTAGGGACATGGTTTAATGGTGGGCTTGGCAGTGCTGGGTTAACATTTAGTCTCAATGATCTTAAGGGTCTTTTCCAACCTAAATGATTCTGTGATTCTATGATTCTAAAGAAAAAGAAGATTTTAATACCTACCAAAAGAATTATAATAATCTACCTATATCCATTTGGAAGACTTAAATCATAAATTTCTATGATGTCATAGAAACCTATCCCTCAAAAAAACCCCAAAGAGTGAGCAAACAAACAATTAATTACCTAAAGCAGACATTTTCAAGGTAACATAAATGTAGCAAGAATCCCCAAAACACTGCATTTCAGGAAGAAATTCTAGGTTAAGTTGCATGTTAAAATGGGGAATGAGCAAAAGCACTTTACAAATAGTTTTTTTCTGAGATAGTTTCAGTAGAGCCTAATTCATGGAGAATTTTGTTTTAGGACAGTTTAATTTTCACATAAACTTTGGATGCATTTTTTTTTACCATATCTTTTTTCAGTAGCCCTTAAAAATTCAGCAGCAGCATCCACTATGTATTATATATGTAACTTGCACAAATACACTGTCCACCAGTTTAAAAAAAAACACAGACTTTCTACAACCTACCAATGTGGCCACCTCCAATGGTGTAAGTCTTCCCAGAACCTGTCTGTCCATATGCAAACACTGTAGCATTGTATCCCTCAGTCAAAGACACTAGAAGAGGCTTAATGCAAACTGTATAAATTTCTTCTTGGGTTGAGTTTTTGCCAAATACAAAATCAAAAGTGAAGACACGATCTTTCCCAATGATAATTTGTTGTGTATTTGGGACTAATCTCACGCACACTTGGTGGTTATGAAGCACTTCTCTGGAAAGCAGAGGTCTGATTCGAACCGCAACTTTAACCGGGATCTCCTCCATGACAGACTCCATCCCTGTGCTCCCCACTCCGTATTCACACAGTCAACAAGAAATCTGTTATCATTCCTGAGTTCACCTCATTCACAGCTGTCTGCAACTAAGAAAGAA